AGAGTGGGGCTTGAGGCCCAGTGGCAGCGGTGTGGGCGGTGGGTGCTGCTTCTTGTCAGAGCCATCTGAGAAGGCCGAGAACCTGCTGGCTGGGGTAATACAGGAGTTCCGTGGTATGACAGGGACCCCTGACGGGAGGGTTTCTCTTTCTCTCTCTCTCGAGGTAAATAAACTTAAAAGGGGGGTTGTGAGGTGCTCTGGGAACTACTCACAGATACACAGTGGGGTGGAGCAAGAGGGTTCTGTTTGCAAACTGGTCTCCTAGCCATGAGTTCATTCTGGAGATAGCACTAGTATTTCCTTCCCAGATCTGAGACCCCGAGGTAGGCTCACCATGCTCATTTGTTCACTCCAGTGTGTGTGTGAGGCCCATACCACCAGGCAGTGAGCAGAAAGAGACTCCAGCTCTCTAACAGAATCCACATGCCACCAGAGAGAGGACCGTGTTTGAGACGGTCAAGAGAAACCCAGGTCTAGGCACAGAGGGAAACCAGAGTCCCCTCTTCCTCCTGCTCCTCAGTTGACTTTCATGGATACCTTTAGATCGATCATCAGATGAGAGATCTTTTTTGAGTAAGAGGTAGCAAGGGGACCTCATCGAGTCCTCTCGTTAGGGTATCTGGTGTCCTGAAATCCACAAGATAGTCGGTTGCCCAAGAGCCTGGGTGAGGCTGTGACAGGGGACCCAGGCTTGTCCGCCAGCCCTCAGTGGTGTTCTCAGGAAATGCCGCCACCCCCATCAACAGCTTATGCTGGCAGCTCGGAGCCATCCTCCCCTCTCCATGCAGACCTTCGGCCTTTCTGCAGTCCAGCCCTTTCTTCATCACCACGGCCACCACCATCTTCTGCACTGACAACTCCATGAGCTCCTTGACTGCTGTCCCCACGGCCACTCAGGCTGTCCCTACAGCCCTGTCCATACTCCTCTAGAAGGGTCTTAGAGGTACAGGTTGCTCACGTCACCCTGCTCGCCCCGCCCCTCTGTGAGCTCTTCAGTAGCTGTGATTGCTCCTAAAATAAAGTGAAAAGGCCCAGGCCTTTCATCATCAGGCTTAGAGGTCTTTGCTGGCCGCCCCTCAGAATCGCCAGACCCCACCCAACAGTAATGAGGCCAGAATTTTGGTCCAGTTTTATAGCCCAGTGGTTGAAGAACCGGATCACACATGGTTGACCATATGGTTCAAATCCGAGCCCCAGCGACTTGAAAAACACACCAGGCATGTGTGTGTGTGTGTGTGTGTCCAAAATCCCAAAAGGAGGGAGAGATGGAGGGGAAGTGAGTGTATGTGGCATGACCACACCCATTGGAGGGTGCTCTCTCTCTCTCTTCCTCCATTTCTTTCTCTGGTGAGTACACACAGGCCCTCTGGCAACTAAAAAAGAGAGACCAGACCCTCTCGAGGGTGGGGCCAGGGCACAGCACAGTTCAAGATGCCACAGTGTGGGTGGAGGTGAGAAGGGCTGGTCCAGCCCCTTTCTGCTTCTCTTTGGCCTCAGCTTATCACCTCCCCTCTGCTTTTCCACTCCAGCCCCCTGGCCTTTCCTAGTCCACCCACTCTCATTCCTCTCTCCCCATAGCTTCTGCAGGCTCCTCCCTCCCCCTTTCTTCCACATCCCTTCCTCTTTGTCCAGCTCATCTCCCTGAGCCTTTAAGACTCACACCATTTCTTCAGTGACACTTCGTAACTCAGGTTAGGTAAAATTTTCTCCTGCGCCATACATATTGAGCATCACTGATCTGAAAATCCTAGACCAAAATGCTCCCAAATCTGCAAACTTGTAAGTGCCGACATGACGTTACTAGTGGAAATTCCACACCTGACCTCATGTGGTGGGTCATAGTTAAAATGCTGCTGTTCAGAAATACTGTATAAAATTCCTTCAGGCCATGTCTATAGGGTGAACCAGAGAGCTTGAAAATTGTATATTATGAAAAACTGCACGAGTTTCTAACATTTTTGCACCAAAATAAACTCACACTTTAATTCCATTTTTCTGTGAACTTTTCGAAGTCCCCTCATAAGGGAAATATAAATGAATTTTGTGTTTAGCTTGGGTCTCATCCCCAAGATATCGCATCATGTATATGCAAAGGTTTCAAATTCCAAAAATATCTGAAATCTGAAATACTTCTGGTCCCAAACATGTCAGAAAGGGATGCCCAATCTGTATTTCTGATGGTATTTTAAGTGTGGCATGGGCTGGCAGGCACGGGGGCCCTTTCCCAGCACCTGTTGAGCTCACCAGCATCTGTCACAGCGAACAGCTACTTTTCAGAAGACCCTCAGGGTGGAGCCATGGGAGGGAGGCCCCAGGCTTTGGTGAGGGTGAGGGTGAGCCTGCTGGAGGCTGGGAGTTAGGAAGAGGAGGGGGGAGATTGGAAGAGAGAACTGGGGTCAGGGCAGCTGCTCCCTCCCCTCCGCTGCAGTTGCCCAAGTGGCATGGTCAGCATCCATTTCTATCTGCCTGACGTCGGGTCACATTCTTCTAGGCCAGAACCCAAAAGAGGCTTAATCGTCCACATGCTCGCAGTGTGGTCCACCGGCCTGCAGGCCTTTGGGGGTGATTTCTTGGTGTACAGCGATGTTCCCAGCTGTAACATGCTTCATTCATTTTATTTCTATGTTTTAGATTTTTTTTTGCTTTCGGGCATGTGTGCCCTCTCATAGGACCTGCAGGTGCCTCACACCTTCTGTGTACTTGGGAGCACACTGAGGGGTAGGTGGCAGGAAGATGGGGACCCAAGAGCTGTTGGGGCCTCTTGGGAACTGGGGAAGTGGCACAATCCCAGGCCCTGGCATGGGTGACAGGTGGTAGGTGTGGTGTGGCCTGAGAGTTACGAGGGCTCCTGACCCAGGCCAGCCCCTTCCAACTCCAGGCCATGGTTTCTCACCCTCCCTCCTGTGTCAGGGACAGTATCTTGATGTCCTTGTGGTATTCAACCCAGGGGGACAGAGGTATTAAATACCAATTTCCACCGAACTCAGAGCTTCCACATTTAAAAACACCCAACATTTTAAAATGGGCTTTTGGGGCCAGCAGGTGGCATAGTGGTTACAGCACTGGACTCCCAACATGGCCAACAGAGGTTTGAGTCCTGGACCTGGCAGCTTGAAACTCAAGCCAGTGCATGTGGGTGTGTGCCCAAGATCCCAAGAGGAGAATGGAGGACGAGACACTGGCCTGGCCATCCCTACTGGGGGGTGATTTCTCACGTTCTCTCTCTCTGACTCGGTGTGTCTCTGCAAGTGCACACATCCTATAGCAAACATCTCTCTAAATTTTTTTTAAAATAAATAAATAAAATGGGCTTTTAAAGTGTAAAATTCATTGCATTTTAGTATGTTCGCAGATATGTGCAGTCATTTTCAACGTCTTTATCACCTCAACAAGAAACCCTGCGCCCTTTAGATATCGCCCCCCCGTTTCCCCACCCCCCCCTTCAATCCTAATCAGCCACGGATCCACTTAGTATCTCTGGGTTTGCCTGTTCTGGCCCTCTCATACACGTGGAATCATCCCATCTTCCACGTCTGGCTTTTCACTGTGCATAATGTTCTTAAAGTTCACCTGTGTCTTAACGTGTCAGAGTTCCCTTCCTTTTTATGGCTGAATAATTCTCCATTGTCTGGATACACCCCTTTCATTTTATTTACCCATTCATCTGTCAACGGATGTGTGGGTTGTTTCCACCTTTTGACGACGTGAATAATACCTGCCATAAACACTCCCGTATGGGCTGTGTATTTGTCTCTCTGGGGCTTATACCTAGGCGTGGAATTGCTGGCTGTGTCTTGAACCATTTGAGGACCTGCCTGACTGTCTTCCACAACAGCTGTGCCATTTCGCATTCCCACCAGCAGATCATGAGGGTTCTGATTTCTCTGCTCCCCCAGATTTTTCATTCACTACCCAGCCCTGTCCCGGTCCCAGCTCCTAGAAGGTTTTCGCTAGTGAAATGCCTGTCGGTGTAGAGCAGATTACCAGGACCAGGGCTCCTCGGCTAAACTGGACCCCTCCAAAGGGCCTAGGACAGGCCGGAGGGAGGAAGGGAACAGGCTCTGTGACTCCCTGGGGGTGGGGGACCACTGAGGACACAGCTGGAATCAGTGGAAAAGAGCCCGAGTGCTGTTTCCTGCAGGTTGAACTCACTGTACAGCAGCAATTTGGGATGGCTCCCTCATCACATGGCAAGAAATCGCATAGCGACGAAGCAAGTCCCTTTTTTTCTTTTAAAGCTCATTTTTTTAAAAGAATTATTTTATCTGACTTTATTTGTTTATTTATTTATTTATTTCTCATTTTAATTTGACCAGAGAGGGAGAAAGCAAGAGAGAGAGAAAGCGAGAAAGCAAGCCATCAAATCTGGGACTTGAACCGCAGTCAGCCATGTGGGAGTCCAACACCTTTAACCACTACACCACCTGTTGGCCCCACAAGTCCCTTTTTAATTCTCTCTCAACTCTTCTGATCCCATCCAGGGCAGTATCTTAGCCGATGCTAAGGCATTTGGTGCCTATTATGGTTGGATACTGGTTTGTCCCCAAACATTCATGTTTTGGAATTTGGTCCTAGGGTACAGGGATTGGACGACCCCCAGAATTCCATGCGTTGGGACTTGATTCTCTTGTAAAGGTGTTAAGTGAAAACTTAACTCCTTCATTGTGTCTCAGGGTGGGGCGTTTGGGTGTGATAGGTGGTTAGGGTGGGGCCCCTGTGATCAAGTCTGGTGGGTTTGTAAGGGGCAGAGATGAGACCAGAACAGAAAGAGAAAACTCGTGGGTACAGGTCCCACTCTGCCAAGTTTGGCCGTCCACCATCTCGTGATGCCTTCGGACTTCCCAGCCAGTAGAATCGTGAATATTTCTGTTAGCGACTAATAAGGCGGGCTAGTGCGACACCTCTCTGAGGCTCGCCTTCCTCCTTTCACTCGGAGCAGGTCTCCTCTTAGCTCTTTGGCAGGAAACAGCATTGAACCAGAATTTGTGAACTTTCCTTGGTGAGGGGGTGCTATTTATTTTCACAGTTTCTATTTATGACAAGTGATGCTGATTTTCCATTTCCAGAGAGCCAAAAAGATTTCGTTCGAAAATACCTGCTTTCGTGTTAAGAAGTGGTTGACTTAAGGGCAGATTGGAAGTAGAGTGTCCCGGTGGTCCTTGAAAAGGTGGTGGGCGAATGGTTGAGACTCGGGTGCCCTTGTTCGGAACTTCAGGGGCCAATAATCAGAGGCACTGGCAGGCAGCAGTGAGGTCCCCAGTCCTGGGGCATGTACGACTGGAAACCGGATGCTAGAAAAATAATCCGGGCAGAGGCTGGGAGCAGAGGGAGTGCTGCTGATCACACAGCACCTTTCCGCTGAGACTGCATGAGTCCGCGGTTCCCATTGTGTGGGTCAGTTTCCCAATTCCACGGCGGGACAATGCCATTGCAGCTGCAGCAGCATCAGCGGCTCCAGCGGAGGGGCGGGCTGGGGGTGGATGGGGCTGCCTTTCTTTCAGCATGGCTACCCACGGTCCCCCGGCAGGCTGGTGGGGAAGGGGTTCTACCACATGACTCCATGTTCACGGAGATGGCTTCTAGCTCAGAAGTGCCACCCACAGGGCTGGCTGCCCTTTCTTGACTCTTATGGTGCGAATCCCTTTCTGTTGGTTAGTTCCCTCAAGACCCCAGTGAAGGGACATGACCTGCCAGCTCCCAGGCTGGTAAGTGTGGATGGTTGCACATCCTGATGTAGACAGGCTGTGCTAGTCAGGGGTGTGCAGAAACAGAACCAGCAGTGTGTGTGTGTGTGTGTGTGTGTGTGTGTGTGTGTGTGTGTGTGTGTGCGTGTGTGTGTGGAGAGAGAGAGAGATTTACTGTAAGGAACTAGCTCGTGCGATTATCGGGACTGGTTAAGCCCCAGATCTGCCGTGTGGCATGGCCGAGTGGGGACACTGGAAGAGCCAGCATTGCAGTTCAAGTCAGAAGTCTGCTTGTTAGCAGAATTCCCTCTTCCCCGGAGGAGGTTTGCTTAGGGGCTATTCGGGACTTCAACTGATGGGACGAGGCCCACCACATGATGGAGGGCAGCCTGCTTGACTCAAAGCCCGTTGATTCAAATCTGGACCTTGGCCCCAGACACCCTGGCAGAAACGCCGTGGCCTAGCCAAGTTGACCTGTAAAATCAACTGTCTCTAGTGCTTGAGTTGGACCAGACTCGGAACATTAAGTAAAATGGAATCCCTTTTAAATCACTCCCTTTAAAATCCCCTTCCAACCCTTCAAAGAGGAAGTCTCAGTTTTGTGCTAATACATCTTTAAGACTTCCCGAGCATGTGTGACATCCTGTTTTAGCAAAGAAACAGAAGGTTGGCCTTGGACTCTGGGCCTCCAGCAGCAAGGCTTTCCAGCTGGAGCTTAATAACATCATTTTGTTTTCATTGTACTCTTTTTCCCAGCACCCTCTGTCGATGGCAGGCACGCCAACTTTCCATTGTAGTTATAATATAAACTTTCCTTTTATAAAAATGTAAGTTTGAAAAGTGCATAAGCTACTAGTGATGTGGGCGGGTATGGGTCTACCTGACATTCTGAAGGTGGTACAGGAGCGACAGGCTTTGGGAAACATCTACGTAAGCTTGGCTGGGACAGTGCCTGAAATGTCCCCTAACTGTCCACACGCCCAAGCTGCCTGCTGCCTGTGTGCCTTCCTCTCCCTCCTGGAGCTCGTCCTGGTGGAAATTCGTTTCCTTTTGGTGCCTTCTCCAAAAGCGGTGGCAGTGGGTGGGAGGTGAGGAGGCTGGCTAGACGGCAACTCTTCACACACTATGGCATTTCCTATTGCCAGGCACCCAAAGCCCTCTCATGAATTGTCTTTTAACTGTCCTGCAAGCTGGGTGTACCAATGTCATGCCCACTTTGCAGATGAGGAAACCGCGGCACCGGAGGCTACGCTGCAGGAACGCCGCCCTGTCAGTCTGACTCAAGAGTGTGCTCTTACCTTGTTGAGCTCATATTTCTTCCTGCTTGTCTTCTGCCCTGTGTCCCCTGCCTGTGTCAATGTACAGGTTAACCAGGTGGTGCCCTGGGTTCCTGGCCTGGAGGTTCCATAGAGCCCGGTTAGTCGTAGGTGAGATGCATAGTCTTGTTGGCAAAATCCATCCACAGAAATGACAGCTCCTGTCACTTATGAAAGAGAAGAAGGTGCTAAATTGAGCATAACTGATCTGGAGGTTATGTGAACGTCACTAATACAAGCTGCTCTGTGAACGAAAGAAGATTACTAACCTAAAGGGTGTGAGGATGGGTAACACCCTGAGCTTGACCCCTGTCTCACCTCTAGCGAGCTAACTTGAATCAGCTTTGCCCACACACTGACATGCTGTGTGCCTGTAGGTGCACTACCCACCCTCTCTGAGCTGTGCTGTGGGTTTTCTGCATAATTACAGGGAGTTCCTTAGAAGATAACCCGTCAGCCAGCTCTTTAATCGACAGGGTGAGTCATCGGGCAGAAGGCAGTTATTAGCTGTCCTGTGAAAGCCACGCAAACTAGCAAACATTCAACAAGTATTTGCTGAGTAACCTTGGGCAAGATGAGTAAGAAATGCTTTATGTCCTTGAAGAACTCAGGCTCTATAATAAAGCAGCGTCTTCCTTTTATCAGTTAGCTCTTGCTGTGTAACAAACCACTCCGAACTGTAACGCCTTAAAACAAAAAATGTCAGTTTCATTTGTGATTCTGCAAGTAGGTAATTCAGGTTGGGCTCAGCTGGGTGGTTTTTCTGATATCAGCTGGGCGCATTCATGTGTCTGTGGCTGGCCGGTGGGCTAGCTGGGACGGGCTGGTCTAGGGTGGCTCTGCTGGGACAGATAGTGTGTGCTCCATATAACCTGCCCTGCAGTAGGTCAGCCTGGCTTGTTCAGTGCTTCTCTTTCAGAGAAGAGTGCATAGAACCCTTCGGGCCTTGACTCAGAATCGGCGCACTGTTACTTTTGCCGCGTTTTATCAATGAAGCAAATCACAAGCCCAGCCAGAGTTGTGCGGGGAAATTGTGTTAAAATTCCTCTCACTCGTGCATATGGAGGCTATTAGTCTGTCTTTTTCTTTTCTTGTAATGCCTTTGTCTGCTTTGAGGATTAGGGTAATGCTGGCCTTATAGACTGAGTTAGGAGGAGGGTGCAACCCCCTTTTGGATTTCTTGGAATAGTTCGTTTAGGAGTGGTATTATTCTTCCTTAAATGTTTGGCAGGACTTACCAGTGAAGCCTTTTGAGCATGGAGTTGTCTCTATGGGGAGGGACTCCAGGACCTTGATAAATATTTCTTCCATTTTTTAAATTTTTTTTTTTTTTAAATTTAAGTTTTTACCACACAGCCTGTGCACTAACTGGAGAGCGACAAGGAGAGGGAAAGTAAGAAATCACCTGGGGGGGATGGTCCTGTCACAACCCCCTCTCCATTCTCCTCCTGGGATTTGGGGCATGCATTCATGTGTGCCTGGCATGATTTTTAAGCCGCCAGGTCTGGGACTCAAACCGGGCTTGGCCATGTGGAACAGCCGCACCTTGACCACCATGCCACCTGCTGGCCCCTCTTCTTCCTTTTTATTGCCATACTTGAGAGAAAAGTCTAGCTCTGTGTCTTTTCTTCTCTTGAGTTCTTTAGCTCCTTGAAACCTGCAGGACTAGCAATTGGCGTAATGGCTTCGTCTCTGGACTCCCATGTAGTCAACCGTGGTTTGAGTCCCAGACCCAGGCATAAACTCACACTG